GTTTTGATGTACCGAAGGAGTTAGGAGTCCCGGATGAGATCAGGGACATGACGAGGAGTCTCGAAATGGTCGAGACGTAAAGATCGATATATTGGACGACTATATTCGGACATCGGAAAGGTTCCGAGTGATTCGGGTATTTTCGGAGGTACCGGGGAGTTACGGGAATACCAGGAAGAAGCAATGGGCCTTAATGGGCCTTAGCGGAAAGGACCAGGAGGTGGCGCGCGCCCCTCCCAAGCCCAGTCCGAATTGGACAAGGGGTTTGGGGCACGGCCCCTCTCTCCCTTCCTTCCCCTCTTCCCCCCTTTCCCCCCTTCTCCTAGTTGGACTAGGAAAGGAGGAAACCTACTCCAACTAGGAGTAGGAATCCTACTCCCTGGCGCGCCCCTCCTAGGGCCGGCCTCCTCCCCCTTGCTCCTTTATATACGGGGGCAGGGGCACCTCTAGACACACAAGTTGATCCAGGTGATCATATTCTTAGCCGTGTGCGGTGCCCCCTTCCACCATAGACCTCGATAATATTGTAGCGGTGCTTAGGCGAAGCCCTGCGACGGTAGTACATCAAGATCGTCACCACGCCGTCGTGCTGACGGAACTCTTCCCCGACACTTTGCTGGATCAGAGTCCGGGGATCGTCATCGAGCTGAACGTGTGCTAGAACTCGGAGGTGCCGTAGTTTCAGTGCTTGATCGGTCGGGCCGTGAAGACGTACGACTACATCAACCGCGTTGTGCTAACGTTTTCGCTGTCGGTCTACAAGGGTACGTAGATCACACTCTCCCCTCCCGTTGCTATGCATCACCATGATCTTGCGTGTGCGTAGGAATTTTTTTTGAAATTACTATGTTCCCCAACAGTTGCTACAGCCCGGATTCACACGTTGATGACCGACACGTTCGAGACTGGGTCATGTATGCCTGTCCCCATAAGTTAGTGCCACTTTGGGTTCACGACTAGTCATGTCGGCCTGGGTTCTCTGTCATATGGATGCTAGCGACACTATCATATACGTGAGCCAAAAGGCGCAAACGGTCCCGGGCCAGGTAATGTTGTTGTGGAACGTAGTAATTTCAAAAAAAATCCTACACACACGCAAGATCATGGTGATGCATAGCAACGAGAGGGGAGAGTGTGATCTACGTACCCTTGTAGATCGACAACGGAAGCGTTTGGTTGATGTAGTCGTACGTCTCCACGGCCCGACCGATCAAGCACCGAAACTATGGCACCTCCGAGTTCTAGCACACGTTCAGCTCGATGACGATCCCCCGACTCCGATCCAGCAAAGTGTCGGGAAAGAGTTCCGTCAGCACGATGGCATGATGACGATCTTGATGTACTACCGTCGCAGGGCTTTGCCTAAGCACCGCTACAATATTATCGAGGACTATGGTGGAAGGGGGCACCGCACACGGCTAAGAATATGATCACGTGGATCAACTTGTGTCTAGGGGTGCCCCCTGCCCCCGTATATAAAGGAGCAAGGGGAGGAGGCCGGCCGGCCCCTATAGGCGCGCCAGGAGGAGTCCTCCTCCTAGTAGGACTCCTACTAGGAGGGGGAAGGAAGTGGGAAGGGAGAGGGAAAAGGGGGCGCCGCCCCCCTCTCCTAGTCCAATTCGGACCAGGGGGGAGGAGGCGCGCGGCCCACCCTGGCTGCCCCTCTCTCTCTCCACTAAGGCCCATAAGGCCCATTACTTCTCCCGGTAGGGTTCCGGTAACCCTCCGGCTCTCCGGTTTTCTCTGAAATCACCCGGAACACTTCCGGTGTCCGAATATAGCCGTCTAATATATCAATCTTTATGTCTCGACCATTTCGAGACTCCTCGTCATGTCCGTGATCACATCCGGGACTCCTAATTAACTTCGGTACATCAAAACTCATAAACTCATAATATAACTGTCATCGAAACCTTAAACGTGCGGACCCTACGGGTTCGCGAACAATGTATACATGACCGAGACACGTCTCCGGTCAATAACCAATAACGGAACCTGGATGCTCATATTGGCTCCTACATATTCTACGAAGATCTTTATCGGTCAGACGCATAACAACATACGTTGTTCCCTTTGTCATCGGTATGTTACTTGCCCGAGATTTGATCGTCGGTATCTCAATATCTAGTTCAATCTCGTTACCGGCAAGTCTCTTTACTCGTTCCGTAATACATCATCTCGCAACTAACTCATTAGTTGCAATGCTTGCAAGGCTTATGTGATGTGCATTACCGAGAGGGCCCAGAGATACCTCTCCGACAATCAGAGTGACAAATGCTAATCTCGAAATACGCCAACCCAACATGTACCTTTGGAGACACCTGTAGAGCACCTTTATAATCACCCATTGTTGTGACGTTTGGTAGCACACAAAGTGTTCCTCCGGCAAACGGGAGTTGCATAATTTCATAGTCATAGGAACATGTATAAGTCATGAAGAAAGCAATAGCAACATACTAAACGATCGGGTGCTAAGCTAATGGAATGGGTCATTTCAATCAAATCATTCACCTAATGATGTGATCCCGTTAATCAAATAACAACTCTTTGTTCATGGTTAGGAAACATAACCATCTTTGATTAACGAGCTAGTCAAGTAGAGGCATACTAGTGACACTCTGTTTGTCTATGTATTCACACATGTATTATGTTTCCGGTTAATACAATTCTAGCATGAATAATAAACATTTATCATGATATAAGGAAATAAATAATAACTTTATTATTGCCTCTAGGGCATATTTCCTTCAAATGTGGCACCCGTGGGAATACTGTGTGTGAGGCCGCAAAGTGATATGATGTGTTACATGCTAGATCGGTGTGACTTAGAATCGGGGTCCTGACATAGCCACCTATGTAATTGGATGTTTGTGGCGTATTACACACATCTTGTTTATGTGAAATGTTTCCGTTCTCTTGGCTCAACACAAATAGTTTATCGGAATGAACTGTATGCCCTCCATTGCACACACCTTGATCTGGTTGAACCGTTTCTGTTGCATTGCCTAATCGAAAGCAGTTCATCCGAGTGAACCGTATGCCGTATATCGCACACAACTTGATCTAGCTGGCCGTTTCTGTTGTGTTGCCTAATCACAAACAGTTCATCCAAGTGAACCGTAAGCTGTATACCGCACACGCCTTCATCTGGCTGCCCGTTTCTTTTGTTCTGCCACATCGCAAACAGTTAATTGAACTGAATCGTACGCCCTGTATCGCACACGCAACTAAAATCTGAACCGTGTTTGATGCATCCTTCATCGCAAACGTTTTGCACTTTTTTGATGGGGTTTTACACCACCGTTTGCGATTAATGCATCGCACACAGTTTCGTCAAAGGGTCTCCGGTCGTAGTGTCGCGTTAGCAGCAACCTGTAGTAGTTCTACCACGCCTGAACTACTGCCCCAAGCGGTAGTACCGGTCACCTGAGCGATAATACCACTTGTGTGCGGGCTGAAGGCATAACGGTTGAATTTGTGGGTGTCTATAAAAGGGGGGGGGTCTTCTTCCCCATTGAACCAAATCCTTTTGAGCTTGTGTTCTTCCCCCATTGTTGACCTTCTTCGAGCTTGCTATCTCTCAGTCCCTCCAATGATTCTTGCTAGTTCTTAAGGGAAAAGAGAGAGTAGATCTAGATCTACGTTTCCACTAATTACTTTCTCCTCTATGTGAGGGGAACCCCTTGGATCTTGATCTTGGAGTTCTTGATGTTCTCCTTGTTCTTCCTCTCATATTCCTTCATAACTTTTGTTGTTGTGATGGGATTTGGGAGTGAGGGACATGACCAATTTGTGTGGTCTTGTCGTTGCATTAGTTACACCAGTTTGAGTTCTCCACGATGATATGTGGAAGTGAAAGTTGAGAAGCTTGGGTGCTTGGTACCCTAGAGCTTGTTCCTCCTCGGTGCTTGGGTGCCCTAGACGGTTGGTTGTGCTTCGGAGCTTAATCATTGTGGTGTAAAGCTTCGGGCAAGTGTCGGGGTCTTCAATTAGGTTGTGGAGATGGCCTCGAGCAATCTGTACGTGTTCCGATGACCGCCCCCAAGGATTGCCAAAGTATACGGGTTCGGTGACCGCCCCAAGTGTCTCCATTTGTACGGTTCGGTGACCAACCTCAAGGGTCCCTTAGTGGAATCACGGGATTTTGCATTGTGTAAGGGCGTGAGGAGATTACGATGACCCTAGTGGCTTCTTGGGGAGCATTGTGCCTCCACGCCGCTCCAAACAGAGATTAGCATCCGAAAGGATGTGAACTTCGGGATACATCGTCATCTCCGAGTGCCTCGGTTATCTCTTACCCGAGCCATTTACTTGTGCATTTTACTTTGTGATAGTCATATTGTTTCATGTTATATATCTTACTATCACTTAGTTGCTTATCTTGTTTAACATAAGTTGTCGGTGCACATAGGTGAGCCTAGTCATTTTAGCTTTTGTACTTGACAAATTAAACGTTAGTTTTATTCCGCATTTATTTAAGCCTAAACCATAATTATTTTAAAGCGTCTATTCACCCACAGGCGACATCCACGATCTTTCAGATGTTGTAAGTATATTGGACGGAGTACGTTGATACATTTTCAATTGTTTATAGTTAAACCTATTATATTTGACTAAAATCCTAGGAACGGATTTTTTTTATATAGGGGGCCTAGGAACGGAAATGGACCCTCAAATAATGAAGCCATAAACAAAGGCCCAATCCGAATCAATCCACGTCTTACCCCACCCAGCCAGCCCACCTCGTCGCAAAGGTCGAAAACGTATTGCACGATTATTCCAGGAAGCACACACCACGCTGTACCAAGGACAGCGAAAGATAACGTATAAAACGTAAACATCGCACCGGGACCCAGATGTCAGCGGAAGACAGGGAAACGCCACCGTTCCCTGCGTCTACTCTACTACCCACTCCACTCCGGCTCTCCCGCCGCACCACCACACGCCAGGCACTACCGGACTACCCCGCCTCGCCAGTGCCGGACGCCGCCGCCGCCGCCATGCCGCCGCCGCTCGGCGACGACGACTCCTGCCTGCTTACCCCGCTCATCTCCGCCTCCCCTCCTCCTCTTCCTCCCCGGGCAACCGCGAGGCTCCACCCGCTCCCTCTCCTCGTCGGCGCCTTGTTCGCCACCTACTACCACCTCCTCGTCGCGCCCGCCCCGTCCTACTACCAATCCCTCTTCCTCTCACTGGGTTGCAACGACACCGCCGCCGCGCACCTGCGCGCGCTCACCGTCCGTCCCCACCTCGCGGGCACCGAGGCCAACGCGCTCGCCGCCGACCACGTCGTCTCCACGCTCTCCTCCCTCTCCTTCCCCACCCGCGTCACGCCCTACGAAGTCCTCCTCTCCTACCCCGTCCGCCGTTCCCTCTCCCTCTCCGCGCCAGGCCACGCCACCACCACCTTCGCGTTGGTGCAGGACACCTACCCCGGCGACCCCTACGCCGCGGCCTCGGCGGAGGTCGTCCCCACCTTCCTCGCCTACGCCGCGTCCGGCTCGGCCGCCGCCGAGGTGGTCTACGCCAACTACGGCCGCACGGAGGACTACGCCTACCTCGCCTCCCGCGGCGTAAACGTCACCGGGAAGGTCGCCCTCGCGCGCTACGGCAAGGTGTACCGGGGCGACATCGTGATAAACGCCCGTGACGCTGGCGCGGCGGCGGCGGTGATATTCACCGACGCCAAGGACTACACACCGGGGAAGGCCTTTCCGGATGGGCCGTGGATGCCGGCGACCGGCGTGCAGGTGGGGAGCACGTTCAAGGGGGTGGGGGACCCCACGACGCCGATGTGGGCGTCGTCGGAAGGGTGCGAGCGCGTGAGCATCGCGGAGGCGATGGCCACGGACGACATGCCGGGGATACCGGCGCTGCCGGTGTCGGGAAGGGACGGGGAGGAGATACTGCGGCTCGTCGGCGGGGACGTCGCGCCAGAGGATTGGCAAGGCGGCGAGGGCGCGCCGGTTTACCACCTCGGGCCCGGGCCGGCGGTGCTCAATCTGTCCTACACAGTAAGTTACTGTCAAGGAGATGAGATCTGCCTTTGCTCTTTTTGGTTCGTTCCACTTCCTGATCACTGACTTGAGTGATGCTTGTGTGTTTCTTTCCAGGGGAATGAGACGATAGCTACTATTCAGAATGTTATTTCGGTGATTGAAGGGAAAGAAGAACCAGATAGGTAAGTAAAACTCTCCACGTTTCTTCTATTTCTGGCCAAACACTTCGCTTCAGTGGGAATTCCACTCCAGTGCCGAACAAACGCCCTACTCTCGGCAACAGTGTGACCAAGTGAACCGAGTCCAAATCCGATGGCTTGAATCACAGAGAAGCTCAGCTACATTTCATCAGTACTCCCTCCGTAAAGAAATATAAGAGCGTTTAGATCACTACGGAGAGAGTACTTGTTTAGAGATATCTTGGATTGCAATTTTGAGACAGACACCATCACACCAAGCACCATCTTAGGTTTCAACTGTTTATCAGCACTGATGATTTCGCATGTAAAAGAAATTCAGTACGTAGATAACTACATACCCAGTAATAATTATCATGCACATACAGGTATGTTATTCTTGGCAACCATCGGGATGCGTGGACATTTGGGGCAGCTGACCCAAACAGCGGAACGGCAGCCTTGCTTGAGGTATGACATATTCAGTTGCTCTATGCCACCCCGTTGGTGTAGCCTACTTATGATTTGGTGCAACACATTGGCTTGTTAACTTAAGTTGAATGTAGCTAGCTGAAAGGTTGTCTAAGCTACAAACCAAGGGTTGGAGACCTCGCCGGACCATCATTTTGTGTAATTGGGATGCCGAAGAGTACGGATTGGTCTCTCTCTCTCTCTCTCTCTCTCTCTCTCTCTCTCCCTCCCTCTCCCTTGGACTATTATAAAGCAGTTCACCTGTCCTTTTCATACTAATTTCCTTACAAAATTGCAGATAGGATCCACAGAATGGGTTGAAGAGAACAGGGCAATGCTAACTTCAAGAACTGTTGCTTACCTGAATGTAGATGTTGGGGTGTCTGGTTCTGGAGTTGACGCGTCAGCCACTCCTCAACTTGATCAATTGCTTAAGCAAGCGAGTAAGAAGGTATAATAATTGAAACAGACATGTCGTTTCTGTCAACAGTAAAAATATACAGTAATGTTTGGTTCAGATCCGACCCGCCATGGGCCGCTTTCTTCCATGGTGCCATAGCATTTACGTGAGAAGATCTGGAGGTCTTTGTAGCAAGCCACAGTTTGGCCAAGTCCTTTTTTTGTTCATAACCAAACCTTGCCACAATTTGCCACACCTTGACTTAGGCATCCATTTGGTCCCACATGTCAATAACCTAGGAAACTGTGGCACAAATTTCCTTTAGACTAACCAAAGTGGTTCCAATTTTGATGATCTAACCTTACACAAATTTGGCAAAAAGAAAAAAAAATGTGGCAAACTTTGGTGAGTTTAGTATATATACCAACTTGCTCTATGTTTTGGCTTAGTTAGGCACCAATTGCAAGCAGTAACTCGTACGTGGCCAAAAACTACAAGCGACTTGAAATGCATGGCTCGTGCAATTATGCCTAGGGGACAATCGAGCAACTAATTTACAATCAGTAAATTCCTTTCTCTCTAGCCTGTGCTCGGCTTGTTTTGTCATTGCTTATAATTGATATACATTTGAAAGAAAGAATAGTCTACTGTGTAATGGAATTGTTGTCCATAGGAAACTAGGAATCTCTAACAACAACAACAACAACAACAAACAACGAACAACAACAAATCCTTTAGACCCCAAACTAATAAAAAACAAAAAAGTGAAATTAGTGACGAGGGTTCTCTATTTCTCTTAATATTCTGTGTTTTCTTTCTTTTCGAGGAAGGTTCAAAATCCCGATAATGGAACAGAAAGTCTGTATGACATGTGGATGGCTTCTGATAATTCTCTGGTAAGCACTTAGTGTTAGCTAAAGCTTGTCACACAAATTTGTTGTCAGTTTTCTGAGCACTGCACATGTACAAGGAATATTGTGTATAGTCTAGACATGGTTCTGTTTCCATTTTTCTAAGTTCAGGCGTGTGATGCTTTTGCTATACTAGATGCAAGTTTAAGATTTCTGATGACACACTTATTTATTAAGATTGGAAGGTTAGGAGGTGGAGGATCAGATTATTCTGCCTTTGTTCAACATATTGGTATTCCTTCAGTCGACATGGCTATTGGGTCAGGTTTGTTTTATGTTTTTTATCTGCCTATGTTCATTAAGTTACATTCCTGAAATGTTTTGTTATTTGCACTTGAATGATTGTGAATTCTTTTACTAGATCAAATCGAATAAGCGTGCTACTTGCTTGCAGGATACGCAGTGTACCATAGCTTGTATGATGACTTCACATGGATGGAGAAGTATGGAGATCCCATGTTCCGCAGGCATGTCGCAGGTACCCCATAGCAACGAACCTATGCTAAAATTACTAGCGGTCTTAAGACCGATGAACATAACAAAGTTGGATTTATGGCTCCGATGAGCAAGGGTAGGCTGGTGTGCAAGGTATCTTTACTAGTTTGTTCTTCTCATTGCTTGATTGATAGTGTATGGTTTGCCTTTTATAGGGAAAACTCAGACTTGAGCGCTAAGAATATAAGAGCATCTCCGACACATCCCCAATCCTGTCCCATTTTTATGTATTTAGGGAGTTGGGAAAAAATCAGCTCCAATAGATCCCCAATCCCGTCCCATCTTATTGGTGATCATCAATAAATCACCCCAACTCCCCGGCCTAGCTCAAATGGTTGGGGGAGTGGATGTACAAACCCAACACCTGGGTTCAAATCCACACGGTGGCGAATTTAGGTTCCTATTTATTCTTGAGGACCAGGTTTTTAAGGGGAGTGAGCCTAGCTCAACTGGTTGGCGGCGCCCTACCCAGCCGTCGGGGGCACATACTCTTTGCTCCCTTCCTCCGCCACCGGTCTAAGCCCGGGGCCGACAGCGGTGGCGGAGGACATTGCCTCTCTCCCGCGGATCTGGGGTTGTGCGGGGCCCCGAATTGTGTGGAGGCGTGCCCGATTCGATCTGCAATGGCGATGGCTGTGGCGAGGCGGCGCAGGCTGCGGGCGAGGCGGCCAACCCCGTTCGGGCGGCGCTTTGGATCGCCGGCGGCGGCGTGGAGGGCCTGGTGGTCGCGGCGGCGGCACCTCCGTTCAGATCTGTTCTGACCGGTCCAGTCGGCGGTGGTGGTCATCTCTTCCGTCAGAGGTGGTCGGCCTGCGGCTGGGTGGTCGGATCTCGGGATTCGTCATCTAGTCCCGGCTACGAGTCAGGGAGACATAGTTGCCGGTGAATACCGAGCCGTTGGCGGGCGATGGCGGTGTTTTTGCGTCGTACCTTGATGAAGGCATCGTCGTGTAACTATTGTTGACCCACTCGTGCTGCTTCGGGGGAAACCCTAGGATCTGGTCTTCCAGATCTGACGATGGCAATACTACGGTGCCGTTTCTCTCTTGGGAGCATCGTTTGTGGAGCAGCACTGGAAGACGGAGGCAGGAGGTGGAGCGGCTTCGTCTTGCACGGAGCTTCGGTGGAGCTATCAAGTCATGCCTGGTCGACAGGTGCTACGCTGAGTCATGCCTGGTTGGCAGGTGCTACGCACGACAGATCTTCCAGAGTCTTCGCGTCTGGGCGGATAAGCGCAGGGCGGCGGTGCCGTTGGGCGTCGTGGTGGCGTCGACGGATGTCCGAACTAGCAAGGATGATGCAGATATCTCTCCTGAAGATGGGTCAGTGGTCTGATGATGATGACGGCTTCTAAAACGTGTGCATGTGGTCTGCGCTTTAGGTAGCCTGCACCGGCTGTTGGCCCCGATACGTTATGCGGATGGATCGGCGACGACACCGGTTTTAGATATGGGGAGTGAGAGCACTCCACATTATTGAGTTTGTACGTGTGAGTGGTGGCTTCAAATGAATTGATGTATGTTCTTGTCAGACCTTTGTGGAATAATTAATAAAGATGGCTGCATGCATTGATTGATGCAGAGGCCGGGGGTTTAACTTCCTTTCTAAAAAAAAAACTCCCCCAATATAGAGGGGGAATTGCCTCTTACCCAATACCATGGTGCCCACTGTCGAACACCGTGTCACCACCCTCGTTTCTCCGTCGTTGTCTTTCTAAAAAATATCTCATTGACAAGTGAGGCCCATATGCAATTGGGGATGGGGTTATTGTGGATCTGCGAAAACAACCATCCCCAATAATCTGAAAATTGTTATTGGGGATCGTTGGAGATGTGCCATTTTCCTAGCAAATCACATTCTTATCGTCCTCCTTCAAGTCTACCCATGACATTACACCCCTCTCTACTAGCAGCGACAAGCTCGATGTCAACATAGGTCTCCATGTGCTCCTCTGCCCACTATTCACATTTCTGGACTTCCATTGCAAACAGGAACTTGTATGTGCCTATCCAGCAGGAGGCACAACACAAAAAGTTAGGGAGTAACAGGAACTTGGTATGGGACATTGCTAAAACATGTGAAGCGTACATGTTAACCATACCAAGTGAATAAGTGTCTGTCATGTATACTTTCGATTGAGTTGATCATCGAAATATGGTGTCGTAAATTTCGTTGCATTTGCAGAACACTTGCATAAGCCCACTAGCCAAAACTTAAGCTAAAATCATCTCTTCTTGTAGTGGCAAGCATATGGGGGCTTGTTGCTTTGAGGCTTTCAGATGAGGAGATCCTACCCTTCAACTACAGCTCTTATGTAACAGAGCTTGAGGTAACATGTCCTTGGGAACTCTCCCATAAATCATGGAGCAACTTCTTCAGAACTGAGCATCTTTTGTCAGCAATTAGGAGTATATAAATTTGGAGGATCGTGACAGTAGCTCTCTCTTTTGCAGAATGGTGCTGTGGATATAAATAAGAGAGTACTAGGAATGCCTGTCAGCTTATCTCCCCTCCACAAGTCAATCAAACAGCTCAATAGAGCAGTGCTGAAAGTGGATTCTGAACTTCAGGTATTGATGTCTGTTGTTGTTGGGTCATAGTCATAACCCCTTGCTTTCTAAGTTCATCTTGCTAACTAGGCTCTGCAAACATGGAAATTTTGGTCCCCATGGCGAAACGACCGGTTGAGGGTAAGAGATCTGAATGACCGGCTGATGATGACCGAACGGGCATTCACAGAGAGGGAAGGACTGTCTGGGAGACCATGGTACAAACACATGGTAAGCTGTTGTGGTTTCGGTAAAATGCGTTGTTGGTTCATTACATACCGTCATGCTTACGGAAAAGAAATCACACAGATTTATGGACCTTCACTGTACAACGATTATGGAGCGGAAGTGTATCCAGGTGTGGATGATGCCATTCAGACTGCAAAGAAAACAAATACCTCCGAGTCCTGGCAATCTGTACAGCATGAGATCCACAGGATTGCTAGAGTCATCAGCCAAGCCGCGTTAGTCCTAAGTGGAGGGTTGACATGAAGCTTTTTCCTCTGCTGACTCAATTAGCAGGGAGCATACAGTCTGCAAATGTTTCATGCATAAGCTATATCACCATAACCACACATGTAACTTTGGGAAAATAACCATAAAGTTGTCCAGAGATGGTATTTGGACATTATATTTCAGTAAATAATCCTTTCAATATCTATTAACAGTGTCCATAATAACCAGGAACAAAAGGCTAATCCAAGCATATCAAACAAAACGCTTATCAGTACCACTAGCAGAAAGGCCAACAAGTGCAAAACTAGCATTGTGCAGTTATAAAAAATGTTCTACATATGCTATCTGCGCAAGAAACCCATGGCTTGGTAGACGTTGTTGAGGGTGGCGTCTGCTATCTCAGAAGCTTTCCCTGCCCCATTTAGCAGAACATTGTCCAAATAACCTGGATCAGACATGATCTCCTCGTATCGAACCTACAGAAAGGTGAAAAGATGAATGTAATAACCAGGGAGCATATGCAAGACTAAATTAATTATACAAGTGAGAATAATTTGGTTAACTAATTAGGGTGTACGTTACAATCAGGGATGCAGGCGGACCGCCCACATCTTCGCATCCGTCCACTGGAGATTGAATTAACTAAAGCACGTACATACTACTCCCTCCATCCCATAATGTAAGACGCTTTTTAACACTAATGTAGTGTCAAAAAACATCTTACATTATGAGATGGAGGGAGCACTTTAGTGGCTGATGCATGATGCGGACTGTATTAATTTCTTTGGTGGACAGATGCGGATGATGCGGGCACGTCTGCCTGCATCCCTAGTACAATGGTCAAGTATACTTGGATAGGGTGAACATGATCAGACCACACAAACACTAAAGATTATCAGACCTGAATAGGTTGCAGATGATCAATTAAGGCATCCGTAAGGGTAACCTTGAACGTCCCCCAGTTCATATCTTGGCATTCACTAACAACTTCCTGCAAAAACCAAATGGGTAAATTATGTTCTCTATCAACATGATGTTGGTCTATGTGCAGGAGATCCTGTTTCATGTTCTGGCTGAGCAGGTGTACTATTCAAGCATGAAAAAGTGACCTCTTTCGTTTTTCCAGTGATGATCTGGTAGACTGAGAGAAGATTTTTGCATTCCGGCCTCTCTGGGTTGTCGAATTCCAAGCTGGAGTGTACAAGTTGAATGACATGAATTCGTTACCAACGGCTATCTTAACTCAAATTGCGGTGAGAGGGGGAAGGAGAGGCTACACACCCAGGGAGCGAGTCAGTTTTGCAGCGTTTGATTTTGTTCACAATCACCTGCAAAGCGTCAGAGATCTATCAGATAAAATCAAATTGCATAAACCTATAAACATAAACACGGTCAGTTGATGGAAGAAAATAACACAAAAGCAGAACATTGAATTCATATTACACTGAACTTACATCTTTTGGGTCAAGAAGGTTAATGCGAGACAAATCTGAAGGAGCAGACTTCGACATCTATCATCAATAAACAGAATGTCAGTAGTACGGTACATACATATACATACATTATATTGAGGAGGTAACTAGAATATGTGCATTGAATCAGCTCTGCAAATACTATGTATGTGATCAAGGAGGAACATCTAGACTAGCAGTATAATAAGCTTAAGAGAAGTATTAACTTTAGTTCGTGATCAGGTAAGAAATGATACAAGGTGTTGTATTAACTTTAGACTAGAAGAAATGATACCTTGGAGAGGCCATCAGTTAAGGACATCACACGGGCCCCTGCTGGAGGGATAAGGGCTTCAGGAACCTAAACATATAACCCAGAAAGTTCCGTAAGAAAAGGTACATAACACCCTTCGCTCAAGGTGTTGTATCTTGAAATGATGCCAAACCATGTGTACGCATGACTATTGACTACACCCACCTTAAATAATGAACCGCCTCTCCTGCAAACACATAGACATGACATTATCATACTGAGACAGCTACTGGTATCGCAAAAGATGTACAGAATATTTAGCTTTTCTCACCCTCCCAATTTCTTCCACTTTCTTCCACCATATAGATTATTTACACGTTCAGAAATTTCACGAGTTAATTCCAAATGTTGTGTCTGATCTTCCCCAACAGGTACCAAATCGGACTGCAACCATTCAAACCAGCTATTGTTGAGATCAATGCAAGGAATGCAGTGTAAAAGCACAAAGGTTGAAGTTGAATTATATGCTAATAATGCGAAGCTTTTACACTAGGACTAACATAACAAAATGGTAGACACAAACAAACTTTACCTGGTACAGAAGGATGTCAGAAGCCATTAGAACAGGGTACGTCAAAAGTGCCACTCCAACATTTTCATTACCCTGGTAATTTAAGAGAACATGAGCAATGCAATACATTTCTAATGAAATCTAACAAATTTAACAACGTGATGGAAGTTGCAGATGGACTCGTTTGACATGCATAAAATAAAACCTGGGTTCATCTGATCACTAAAAATATGGAACTAATGCTTGGTAAGGCTAGAACTAACAATTTTGACGAAGTACAGAAAAACTTTGGTGTGTAATCTTGATGACCAAACCGAAACACGTGATAAAGAATTATAAGACACAACATATGACATATCAAAGAAAATAGTAATATATTATAAGAAGAATATTTACCCCTGATTCAACAGTGCATTGAATCCTTCAAGTGTAGAAGTTATAACTTAAGGTCTAGTCATCATTACATGCAACTACTCTCGCAAGAATGATGTCATGTAAATATGATCATACATCAGTGGACAACGAGCACCAGTATTCTTAATCGGTATACCGTAAGGAGCACTACATTTAGTGTTTCCCTTTCCTTTCATTGCTCAGTAGGATATTATAAATCACAAGGGAACATATATCAATGCATATTATTGGTGTAGAGATTTTTTTTGACTGCAGGTTATTCATATCCGTCCTGAATTGCAAAGGCGCTATTTTTCGACTACCAAATAATCTCCACAACATAGGAAACATGTCTATTTGTGAAGTGAACTATCATCTTCTAAAATTCCTTCTGCACTATGATGATTTATGAGAGCTAAATCATAAGTTGACAGTGAAGCTATCATACAGCGAATGACGCACCGCCTTGCGTGATTTCTCTTTGAACTGAATCATTTTATTCAGCCAACCAATAGGAGTTGAAGAACTCAGCAGCCACATCAGCTCAATATGGGCACGGACATGAGACTGTACAAAAATAGAAGCCTGGAAACACACAAAGTATCATAAAACGTTCAGCACCAGAAAGCTATCCACTAGCAGGAACACCAAAACAGAGCATAACTAAGCATGCAAAGCAAACCTTGGAGCTATCAATGCCGCATGCTAGATAAATTGCAGCGGTGCTTCTTGTAGCTTTAGATAGCTCTGGTGCATCATATGGCAAAGTAATCTGCACATTTTTTAACATAGTGGTAAACATAAATTATCATATGTTAAGCTAGGCAGCTAGCCAAATGAATCATGAAGATAAATCTTAAAAAAATTATTATAAAAATAGTCAAACATGAACATTATGCAGCTGCTTGTGTTCTTGTAAGAGAACTCTGTAGTTCAGATATACAGCATTAACACTGCTTGGTTAACATAGAGGCTGTGCTTTTTATACTTCTTGTACTGTAAGGGAAGTACTTCATATTGTCTGATTAGACGTTGTGATGAACCTCAGGTATCACACAAAAATCTTGCAGTTGTAGCTTGTGTTAGACGGGTATCCAACCATACAAGGTAAAATGAAGCATCCCAGTTTGATCAAAGCACTGAATAAATTAGAAAGGGAATGCCGATACCCGATAGCTAGCTTGTGTTAATAGGTTATTCACAACCAACTACATACTACACAGCGCTTTTGTTGTAGGGTGGCCATGAAATGCTTACCGCATGCAGGTCCACAATGAAAAAGAATGTCTCATACAAATCCTGCAAGGAATTATCAAAAAAATAAAGGGTAAGAAGATGTTAAACATAGATAAAATGAATTATTAGTTCAGCACTGGATAAGTAGTTGTTGAAACACATCTCAACTAGATGAAGGTGGAGGAATATCATTACTGAACCAGCCTTGCGGTTACATTGTTTGATTAATACTTTCTGGTTTGATTGCTTTGATAATTTTCTTTTTGAGACACTAACAGTAAAGCCAAAACACTTGCAATACAGTTTGATAGAACAATGCAGTTACAAATTAAAATATGCAGTACCTGAAGTGCAACCCAGTTCTTAATAGCGCCAAGATAATTTCCAAGGTGCACCATTCCTGTTGGCTGTACACCAGAAACTACTCTTTTCCTGCAGTGGGTAGGCACATAGATTGTTGTTCGAATTAGAAAAGAAGAAACAAGTAAATGGATTTATCAGAGCTACATGTGACCTTGCTATACAAATATCAACATGGACAAATTCAACATCAGGATATTTAAACATGACAATAATATCAACATTTTATTGCTCTACAGAGAGTTGCAATGAGATTTGTATACTGGTATGAGACCCCAATAGGGGAAGTGGTATATACACATAAAAAAGGTCGAGAATTCCCTTTCTTTGCAAAACTTACAAGGGATTTCTTAGTAGTGAATGAATAATGCCATTCATATATAATCTTACAGTGCTGCTTAGTGTGAAAACTTGGCATTGGCTTATTGAACATGTCTGATTTTTATGTTCAACTTAAGGTTGCATTATGCGCACATGTTAAGCACAGAAAACCAAATGATTACTGCAACAATGAGTAGGGTGGGATGAAAAGTGAAGTGAAGCCTAACTGGTATGCCCAGCTTGCTCCATCCAAAACAGGTATTCTCTGTAAGGTTTGCATGAAGTAGATTGCAGTCGGCAACAGCAATTCTAGCAAGTCATGCGTAGGCATTTCCAACCCTCCAACAGATGTGGAAAGGCATGCATTGGTATATCATGATGTAGCATTGCATCACACACCGGCGGTGCACAACTGAAGCACACTCTCCGGCATTGCATATTTGCATTCACAATTCAAAGCAGCGTCGTCCGCGTAACCTAACCTCCAACCGAATGCAGGCAATCACGTGTGCCCCAAGGTCCTCGCGCCGCACGAAACTACACGAACACGAACCGGAGGAGCAGAGCCTAGCAGACGCATTACGTCGAACAGCACAGGGGCGAGGGCAGAGGCGCGGGCGGGGCTTACTTCCTCGCCGGGGGAGCAGGCGCCTCATCGGCCGAGGCGGTTGCTTCAGCCGCGCTGCAGTTGAGGCGGAGAGCGCGGAGGCGGGAAGGCAGCGCTCCTCCTCGGACGCCACTCCTCGACCTGCGCGCGAAGCCCAAACGGCGGGAGACATAAAAAAAAGTATCAGCGTCAGCTCCTACAGCCCAGGCGTTCAGGGCGCACGAGAGAGGGTGGGAAGAAGGAGAGCGCGCGTACGCGAGGAGAGGCGGGCGGTGGAGGATGTGGGAGAGGAGCGCGCGGCTCATGGCGGTTCTCTGCTCTGCTCTGCTTCGGATTTGGCTGCGCGGCTCCGGATGGAGGAAGGAAGGAGGAGGAGAGAGTGCCGCACGCAGGCTGACGGGGCGGGTTGGGTTTTGAGATGGGGATCGAGTGGGCCGGGCCGGGCCGGGCTTGGAAGGGCCTGTGTTTTTCCAGGTGGCTCGGCCCGGCCTGGCACCGCAGAGTTTCTAGAGCCGGCCTACCGTGGGGCTACGTGTCGCGGCCTCTCCCGCGACGTGTCCCCGGACAAGAGGCGACGGTGTCTTCGCTGTCCTCCGCACCGCACCGCGCTGCGCTGGTGCTTCTCCAGTTCTCCTCCTCCTGGCGCCCCCTTTATGCGCGGGCTACGACGCAGCAGCTTGGCTCGCATTGCATCCACCACCAGAGCGGCGTGGGCGCGTCAGTGCAGCAGCAGCATATTCGGAGGAGCGAGAGCGGCGCCGCACTGCACCATGGCGGGACGATCGGGGGAGGAAGCGGACGCCGCGATGGCGGGCGTGGCCACCGGCGGCGTGGAGGACGCCTACGGCGAGGACCGCGCCACCGAGGACCAGCCCGTCACGCCGTGGGCCGTCTGCATCGCCAGGTACATACACGCATACGGCGGCCACCTTGTTCCATTGGTGCTCTGCTCGCCGTCGATCGTTGATTCTTACTACCTAGAACTTGGTTAATCAATCTGCAGTGGCCACTCCCTGCTGAGGGATCCGCGGCACAACAAGGGGCTGTCCTTCACGGAGAAGGAGCGGGACGCGCACTACCTGCGCGGCCTGCTGCCTCCGGCCATCCTGCCCCAGGAGCTCCAGGAGAAGCGGCTGCTGCAGAACGTGCGGCAGCTCGAGGTCCCGCTGCAGCGCTATATGTTCCTCATGGACCTTCAGGTCAGCTCAGCTCTCTCCGGACATGCGTGCATCCTCTTAGGCATGTCATCTTTCACCCTTGGCGTTGATGCGCTGATCTGTTTGTTTGCAGGAGAGAAATGAGAGGCTCTTCTACAAGCTCATGATCGACAACGTCGAGGAGCTGCTCCCCGTCGTCTACACGCCCACCGTCGGCGAGGCCTGCCAGAAGTACGGCTCCATCTTCAGGCGCTCGCAAGGTCTCTACATCAGTCTCAAAGACAAGTACGTGTCTGATCATTTCACTTAAGTTTTCAGTTTTCACATGGCCGGAGGCCAGTTTCTGTATCAAGTGAGTGAAACGCTTGCGTGGTGTTCCTGTTGCTGATGCTAGGGGGAGAGTACTGGAGGTGCTGAGGAACTGGCCGGAGAAGAGTATTCAGGTCATCGTTGTCACCGACGGCGAGCGCATCTTAGGCCTCGGAGATCTTGGCTGTCAGGTCAGTCACGGAATTATTTTCTTTAACTGAAAGTTATTGGCTTGGTGCTTACCATTAACATGGTTTTGGATTTCAGTTTCAGAAATATTTTAGCCATAGACGAAATTCATCAGTGATTTTGATTTTCATTTCGGTCAAAGCACCGAAATTTTCACTTGAAACTGATTGAGATCCAATCAAATATTTTGAAATTTCAAACAATAATTTGAATTTGTGGGTACTACAGAAATTGCTGAAATATTTTGACCGAAAGACAATTATGTCAATAATGAAATTTCGATGAAATCACACGAATGACCAGGAATGGAATTCCAATGTGCAGGGCATGGGAATTCCCGTGGGGAAGCTTGCGCTGTACACGGCCCTTGGTGGCGTCAGGCCATCTGCTGTAAGTACTTGGAATTTGGACTCTGTCTTGCTCTGTTTTGCAATGACCAATTTCATAATTTTCATGCAACTATATACCATGTTTCCATTTGGCGTGCCAGTGTTTACCCATCACCATTGATGTGGGGACGAACAACGAAGAGCTACTGAACGATGAGTTCTACATTGGATTACGGCAAAGAAGAGCCACCGGCCAGGTTCCACTTCTGCTACGTTGGCTGTGCGCAGTCAGTTAACTAAATATGGCCATCAATCAGTCCCTCATGTTTCATCTCTTTTGCCTGCTTGATTTAGGAATACACTGAGCTTCTGGATGAGTTCATGGTTGCCGTGAAGCAGAACTATGGGCAGAAGGTTCTTGTCCAGGTATGAGAATAGTAGGAAGAACCCTCATTTCTGATCTGTAGTTGAGCTACTGGCATGGCCACTTACCCGAAACTTCTTCGACTTCTTATAGTTTGAAGACTTTGCAAACCACAATGCGTTTGCCCTTCTCGACAAGTACAAGGCGACCCATCTTGTCTTCAATGATGATATTCAGGTTTTGGGACCAGATTTCTGGTTTCTGTATGCTTATCTATCATCTACTGTACTGTGCAACGGTAAAGAAGTTAACTTTGGAAATGCGGTATTCACAGGGAACGGCTGCGGTGGTACTTGCCGGCCTTATGGCTGGTCTGAAGTTTGCTGGTGGAACTTTAGCTGATCACACATTCTTATTCTTCGGTGCCGGAGAGGTCAGTTTATCTTACATCGTACTAGGCTGGTTATGCATTGCTCATCATGGTTGCTTCTGACTGCTGCCAAGTGTATAAGCATCTACCAGCGCTGCGACATGACAGATTGCTTTGCATTCTTATTAACCTTAAAATGGTTAAGTGAAGATTTGTTAGGGAGGTTTCAATTCAAAAACAGTAACAGATGGAAGACTTGTCTATAAAACAATTAGATGAAGGATTGATAGTATAATATATAGTACTAGTTCAAGTTGCTTCTTGTTTTCATTCTTTAAATGCATCCTAATATATGTGCTCATATTATCAGTTTTCAGAACAATTTATGTAATGGTTTCTGAGTCGTTGCCAAGTTAGCAAGTATAAATCAAAGCCCAACTGTCTATTCTTTGCAGGCTGGTACAGGCATTGCTGAACTAGTTGCTCTGGAGATATCCATGCAGGTAGTTGGCTGGTTTAACCTCGTCTGATTGTGCTTTGGAGAGTGTGTTACTAATTCTGCTCAAAAAATATTTCGGCTGTTGTGTTCCAGTCCAAGACTTCACAGGAAGAGGCTCACAAAAACATCTGGCTTGTTGATTCAAAGG